GATCGGGATCTTTCTACTGCCTGGAGCAGCTGAGTGATGTCAACCAGCAGATGAAAACAGGTCAAAGGAGTTATGCCAAGAGAAGAAAAGAAAAAATAGAGAGAAATAAAAGACTGAGGAGAAAAAACTCCTCACATGAGAAGACAAATACTGGGATTTTTAAGGTGCCAAAAAATATATATAACAATGTAAGCTAAATTGTTACAATATTTATTATCAAATCACTTACAAAATATTAATACATTGAATTATATCAAAATTCATGATGATACTTATTCAAAAATATATCCGGTGCAATATTTCTCTCTCAACATGTTTCACCATTTGAGTGTATTGGATTCCAAGCCCCATCTACTTGGACTTTTACATCAATGCGCCACAGCATAGGACCATTGTTATCATATCAGTCCTTCTGTACGTTACCTCAGATACATTTCTAGGCCCTTTTTGTGGTCTAGCCCTCCCGAGCAGATGCAACCACAATTGACATTACCATTTGTTTATGATTTTGTTACTGGCTATCATGAGCCCATGTTTGCATATTTCTATGTTTATTACGGTTCATTACTCAAAATGCCATGCTGTTCAGGTGGCTGTTCACTCCTCCACAACTGGCTCTTGATTAAGACTACTCTCCTTCCCAACAGCCAGCCCTTTTCTGGGCTTCACTGCTCACGTTTAGTTGCACTTGTGCTTACTATGTGTACTATGAGCCGTAAAAAGGCTTCTTTCTACATTGCATTTGCTCTTCTTCTTCTCTTATCTGCTCTTTCCTTTGCTATCTCTCTTCTCTTCCTTCTGGTCTCACAGGGTAGTGTTGAAACTACTGGTTCCCCATCCTCATGATGGCATTTGACTGGTTATCTCTTAATGTCCAGGGTTTGAATTCTCTGCAAAAATGAGTGAAAGTTTTCTGCTACATCTAGAAATACCAAGTTGATGTAGCCTGCCTGCAGAAAACCCATTTAATGACCGCCTCACACCCCAAACATTTAGATCCTTGCCACCCCCTTGTATATCAAGCTAACGGCCCCACTAAACAACGGGGGATGTTGATTGCTTTCCACAAATCCACCTCTTTTATTTGTAAAAAACAATTAGTTGACCCCAATGGTAGATATTTACTGCTCCAAGGCATCCTTCAAGATACTGAGGTTACAATCTTGACTTACTATGCTCTTAATGTAAACACGGGTCCCTTTCTCACTCATATTTGTTTGCTCTTGGCAACCCACCAAATTGACACGCTGCTGCTTGCTGGTGACTCCAATTTAATCTTGAATCCCAAGTTAGATAAATATCCAACCAATGATTCAGCCTGATCATCTGCTGTCAGACATTTCCAACAACTTCTTAATGACCATGGTCTGGTTGATCTCTGGAGGGAACTTCATCTTTTAGCAAAAAAGATTTCACACATTATGCGCATCCACACCACTCCCAGTCCAGGATTGACCATGTATTTATGCAATGTAACTGCCTCCCTATAGTTCTCTTGGCTACTATCCTAACTGACTCTTGGTCAGATCATGACCCAGTACTGGTCTCTTGCAGCTCTTTGCTCTGTAAGGCTCAACACTCTCCATGGGTCATGAATGACTCCCTGCTCTCCAATGAAGAGATTCGTGCTGTTCTTTTACAAAAATCTCAGGAATATTTCCAGCTTAACGCGGGGTCGGTTTCTTCCCCAGTAACACTGTGGGAAGCTTACAAGGTGGTACTCCGAAACATTCCCCAATCACCTAGAGAACTAGACATAGCTTTCTCACCAGCAACCCTATTCGGATATTAGATGAGTTTAGACACCATCTTACGTCTTTGTACTCTGTACTTATGCAGGCAAATGATCAGGATATAGTACATTTTTGGAGGGTCTCTCCCACCAGAAACTTACACCAGCTCATAGGGCACTTATAGACCAAGCCATTTCTGCCTTGGAAATTCAACAGAGCATAAAAGACTTAAAATTGGGTAAACTAACTGGACCTGATGGCTTTTCCACTCTCTTCTATAAAAACATTTGCAGACATTATCACTCCCCAACTATGTATAATACTATTCGGGAATGCGGCATTTTCTCCTCCTCTTTTCTGACCGCAAACATTGTTATGATCCCTAAACCTGACAAGGAGCTCCACAATTGGGCAAATTATTGCCCAATTTCTTTGATCAATATAGACCTAAAACTTCTCACAAAGATTCTGGCGAATAGGCTCAATTCTTTTTGACTAGACTCAATAAGAAGGATCAGGTGGGCTTTGTACTGCAATTACTCCATATTACTAAAGGTCGATGCTGACATCTGTCTTCTGGGTTGTGTTCCCTGCGAGCGTTGGTACGCACGGGGGCATAACCAGGGGGAAATTAAAAAAGTAAAAATATGACATACACACAATACATTGTAACCTGTTAGAATTACATTACGGTATCATACCATCACACCTAAATTTTGCCTCTAGTGCTTTGTCCAGTGCTCTGCCTGCACTTTTACTGTTCTTTCTGCCTGGAAACTTGCAAACATCCATGGCATCCAAAAAGCATCCATTTAGGTCAAAAGCGATTTTAGACTAGCTAGAAAACAGTGATAGTGAATTAGAATCACTTGCAGAATGATGAGTGATTCGTGGGGAAATTTGTCATCAGACAATGACATTATTAAATTAAATGTATTATTATTATTTTTTATAATTATTTATTATATTATATTTTTTGATTTTGTGTGTTTATCACACCCGGGATGTTTACTAGACTCTTGTTTGGACAGATTTAAGTGAGTTATTCCTAAGAATTACAGGCCTACAATATAAAACAACACATTTCCATGCAAAACAATGTACTGCTTTGACATCCAAAAATATTGATTAGTTAGACCACCAGGGAGGTTAACATCCCCCCCGCCTCTCTCTACCAAGATTCTAGATTCTTTTGCTTCACTCTCCGGTCTCCACGTTAATCTAGGAGAATCAAAAGCTCTCTCGATGTCTTTTCACCACAAACTTTGGATGCTCTCCATCAGTCTTCCCCATTTCCATGGCTTGCCTTGCTGCCATACTTAGGTATCCGGCTCTCCCCAACGGTGAAACATCGCATGAACGCTATAATGGTCAACGAGAATCTGACATCTATATTGTGTGATTCTCATGACCGCTTCCTGCGTGTTTAGCAACCCTGGATATTATACGTTTATCGCTCGCACTTTGATCATACATGTCGTTTACTAACATTGTGATACCTTGAACACATTACTCTCTGAGACCACCTTCCCCTTTCCTCTTTCTCATCTCTATTTTTTCTTTCTGTTTTAGGTTAACATCCACGCCATGGGAGTGACAGCTTGCCGTGCGTAGGCACGCAAAAGACACTTGTCATTAATTTAGGCCACTTCTCTAACACGCCGACCATCACTTGTGCTGCTGTTCTCTGCACATTTGCAGAGACTGACTAATTTAGCTAAGTTCCTGTGGAGCGAGTGCAGGATAGCTGCCGCTTTACACCATGGTGTGAATGAATCTTTCTCCTCTGCATTCTCTTTTCTTTTTGCCTCTCTTCTTTTTCTGGTTTTCTTCTTGGTGATCTTTCTTTTCTACAATTTATTCAAATGCCTTAGTTCAACAATACCTTTTAGGCTTTGGGCCTAGCAGATACTGTAACTTCATGTAATTTTTTTTGTCTAATGTTAGGGCTTGATGCCCTCTGGTTCCACCTCAACTTAACATTTAAGTTGTTACTGGTCTTTATGTTTGATTTCTACGAGCACTAGAACATCACTTCCATACCCTGGTCAAGTCTCTTTTGACCTTCATCTGCCCATTGTTATTTCTCTTATTTTGCCATGATTTGATGCTGTACTTTGTACTATATTGTATATATCTTTCTGGTATCTCAGTTACTTGGCTATGTATGTATACAGTATGTCACTTGTTAATAAAAACCTTTGTAAAAGAAAATACCTAGCAGAAATTGCATCAAAATGAGACTATAATGGTCTTGAGAAATCACCTTAAAAAACAGCACATCTCTTCCTTGAACAAAATATATTGTATACACTTAATGCTTTTGACCAGTTTGCTTAGAAAGTTGCTATTTATAGTGATGAAACATGTTTGTGCAAAACTGGCATGCCTGGCATGACCATGGGGCCTGAATTTTTCAGTCCACACCTTGAACATGTTTGATTTATATGTATTGTGGGGGGTTAGCTCAGATGGGGATCACCTTCCCTGGGAAAAAGGCAGTCCAGATGGCAGGTTTTTCTGAAAAGTCTGACTTATAGCCAGTTTTATTTAAAAGGTTGCATGGAAAATAAAACAAAACAGAAAACAAATATTTGCCATCCAGGCATTAACTAAACAGAAGACATTCCTATCTAACAGGTGATTGGCTTCTCCCAGTCACCAACCAAACAAAACGTGTAAACCTTTTCCTTTCTTGCATAAAGCATACTTTCATATCCACAGCTCTCTCAGGTATTGCTTCCTGAGTCCAAAAGCAAAAGCAACCTCTTGCTCCAGTCCTGCTTTATTTCTACCACCTGCTGGTGGTCACAAGTGGAAAGGAAAATCCTATTTGGAACCAACACTGCCAAGGTGGCCTGGAAACCGGATTTCACTTTAGTTCTGTACATATGAAAGCATGTGAAGTGATACATAGCGTCATTCAATTACCGTACCTTTCATAATGTCACATTATGTATGGGATTTTGATTCACATACTGGCAAAATACGAGATGATCACATTTTGCAACCCTGTGATGACAATGGCTGTTGGTCTCAGAGTAACTGTGGTCTTCTATGTAACTAGCAACATTGTTTCACCATATGGTGTTTTGCTTGACCTTCCTCTTTTAGGCTTTATCTTATGATTAGACCACTTAAAGTGGAGTTCCAGTGAAAAAATATAAAATGAAAGTCAGCGGGTACAAAAACTGTAGCTGCTGACTTTTAAAAAACGAACATTTACCTGTCCCTTGATCCCGCGGTGTTGTCCCCCCCCCCCCGCAGCCAGTTTCACCAGCAGCCCTGTGTTCCCGGCACCAGCATCTTCAGTGTGGGCACCCAGCTGTGACAGCTTGCAGCTTCACAGCCGGGTGCTCTCTGCACATGTGCGAGTAGTGCTGCGCTTTTTGAATAGTCCCGTAGTCTTCTGGGACCTGTCACGTGTCCCAGAAGACTACAGGGAAGGAGGGGAGGAGGACAACTTTCGCTTCTGAAGGCCTAAGCCAGGGGTAGGCAACCTGCGGCTCTCTAGTTGTTGTGGAACTACATTTCCCATGAGACATTGCGAAATTGACAGTTACAGCTATGACTTGCAGAGGCATGATGGAACTTGTAGTCCTGCAACAGCTGGAGAGCCGCAGGTTGCCTACCCCTGGCCTAGGTGATCGCAGCAGACGTGGGAGCGGGTACCTGTCAATTTCGGGTACACACTTGCCCGCACTCCCCAAAGGTGCCAATCCTTAATGGGGAGCAAGGAACCAGTCCTTAAAGCGGAACTTCCCCTTTTGGGTGGAGCTCCACTTTATGTTACAATTCTTTTACTAGAATGATTATACATCTGCCATATGCCTCTCACATCAATTTGTTTTTGTATAAATGGACCAGATTCAAGACAACAGGTGGCAACTTACTGGTTACAAATCAAATATAAGCAATGTATCTGTTTTGCATAAAGATTATTGTTGAAGTTGTGGAGATGGGTATGTGCATATGACGTGATATAAATGAGGGTCCAACAACAAGGGAAAAGACCTTCAATGTGCAGCTTTCCCCTCACCCCCCCCTAATACTTACCTGAGCCCGATCTAGATCAAGCGATGTGCACGAGAGCAGTCTCTCCCAGGTCTCTCCCTCCTCATTGGCTCAGACACAGCAATTACAGCCAGTGAGGAGGGAGTGGAGGCTGAGGCACGCTCTGTGTGTCTTATGGGCATACAGGGCCAGCTGGGGAAACGAGCAGTCATGTGTGGCACTTGGCAGGAGCCAGGAGCACTGGCGGGGAACCTGGGAAGGGGAGGATTGGGGCTGCTCTGTACAAAACCATTGCTCAGACCAGGTAAGTATACCATGTTTGTTATCTATTTTAAATCTTTGTACCTTTACAATCACTTTAAGTTTGATGGCTTGCTTCGCCCAACTGTAGGTTTCAGCTCTTTCTTTAAAAATTCTGTATGAGTCAGATCAGGACTTGTGGAAGGCAACTTCAGAATGGTCCAATGTTTGCTTTTTAGACATTCTTGCATTTCCGTAGATGTTTGTCTTGGGTCATTCCTGCTTGAAGACACATGACATGTGACTGAGACAGACTTTCTAACACTGGCTATAATGTTTCACTTTCAAATGCCTTGATTAAAGTTTCCTGCACTGATTTAGATTGGAGGCACAGGAAGAGAGTGGGTGGGGAGTTTAAAGGAAGAAATGAAACCACATAATGTCCTTCATGTATCACAGTGAGGATGGTGCTCTTCTCTTTAAAAGTATTGTCTTTTCTTCTGTGAACATACAGCTGCTGTGACCCACCAAAAAGCTCTAATTTTGTTTCATAAGTAAACTTGTTATCATGCATTTTAGCAAACTTCAATCTGGCATTTTTGTTTCAGAACTGAGGTCTTCCTGAGTCTTCTACCGTAGAGGTCACTTTCATTCAGACAGCAACAAATGTTGATATTGTGGAGAGCTGGGATCTGTTTTCCTTGTTTATTTTTTCACTATTTGATTTATCTTTCTGTTTTCTCTGGGATCCATTTTCCCTTGGTGGCCATATCTAGGGTAGTTAAAAAAAACAAAAAGGAAAAAGGAAGCACTCCAGACTAGCACTGTGAATCCTTTAACTAAAAACACTCAGACTCCCTCAGTTAGATGATGAGATTGCTTTTATGAACCAATACACAGCCTGGAATGAACATCAAAGCCAACAGTGTTATAAATAAGATCCCTCTGTCAGGTCTGGGATGTCATTCGGCTGGGCAAGAAGAAACACTCATGTACCATCAGATTGCCCCATGAACTAAAACTACTATATTGTTGGTGGCTGCGCTCCCGCACCTATCAGTTTCTACTAGCCAACAGTCCTGTGTGGAGGATGGCTGCAGTGGCTTCTAGGTAGTGTGAAAGTACTCACTCATAGTACAGCTGCTGGGCACTCCATTTGGCATGAAGTTTTAAGTGAATTTCCCCAAGCATATTAAATGTGAGAATAAGGAATACTGAGTCCAGATATCCAGTGGCAGCAGACATGACCAGATCAGTATAGCTGTACTTAGGAGACTGGAATTAGACTGAGTATGATTAGAATGAAGTTTATTAATGCACACAACACCAATCCAACACCAACATGACGATGAAGCAAAACCAAACTAACAACCTAACTATAATACACTGTAAACAAATGGAGGTAAGCTAACATAAACAGGTTATGACCAGGACTGGAACTGGGAATAAGGGGAGCAGAGATGGGATAATAGGATACAGGATAAGGCAGAGATCAGGATAATCAGCAAGCAGGGATATTCCCAGCAGCCAGCATTAGGTGGAGCCTTATTATTTGGATCTGCTGACTGCAGGTGACCACCTGAACTGTGCTTTTTAGCTCTGGGAACCACAGTGCCACTAGTAGGTGACCCAGGTCCTGACAGTGAGTATAACAGCTTGAATTTTAATAAAGTGCTTGTTTCATTTACTACACTATTTGGATGATTCTCTTTATGTGGTATGTGGTGCTATGCTATGGAGTGAGCATTTGAGCTCAGAAAGGAGCAGAGACCAGTTTGAAAAACCTTTCATACCTGCGTTAAAGATAAGGGTCATATAGTTCTGGTGAGTGAGCTGTGTTACTAAAACTGGATGACATGCAGGTAGTTTGTGCTGAGAATGCGATTGCACATACAGTAAATCACTATGGATTTTATTGTGAAGGAAGGACAGGTTTGATGAAGAATTGGGTTATAATATTTTTTATCAATAGGAACAGCGTGGGCTATTGCCCTATTGATTTATCACTTTTTTTGGCACAAGCACTAATTGTTTTGATCACTTGCACTGAATGATTTGTTTCTATAATAGGTATATACATTTTTTACAGTATTAATTTGAGATACTGTATGTAGTAAGCGTGACACGGGAAAAAGGAGTGCTGGTTTACAATAAATATACAGATTACTGCCTACCCAGGCCCAAAATACTGCACAATAGATGTCTGAAGGCCACATGCTAAAAATGCTCATGACCTGGTATATTGGACATTTACCAGGGTTTTCTGTCCTGAAAGGAGTTGTCATTTAAAGTGTATTTATAATTTTGCAATCAAATTTGAGAAAACACAGCTAGAAAATTGATTTATAGGTATGTTTCCATTCACACAGCTTAACATGTTTTTTTATTTTTTATATTTCTTACCTGGTTCTTAGGAGAAGGTGTAGTAGGTCAAAGAGAGCAGCAAATAAAAAGCCCAAAGTCTTTATTGTCCAAGTAGCTTGGGGGGTTGGGGGAGTGCTCTTGCTACTTCTACTGTAAACACCAGGACTGACTATTGTCTATAAAGTCATCTGCCTGCAGATCAGTTTCCTTAGGAGTACTTTTGAATCCCTTTGACAGTCTGCTATTACTCTTGAATTACTTCGGTGAATGTCCTCTCTTAGGGGATCCCCATCTTTGTAGTAAGCTGCTGAATTCAGGCCATGTGGGCTCAAGTAATGACTTTGTCCATGTTTTGATAACGTGAACATTTGTGCCCAGCACCCCTCTACCAGTAACATTTGATCTTAGGACAAGGTGTAAAGGCTGACTGCAAGTATTGCTTAACAAGTTCAATGTAATCTGTACCAATAGAAAGCCTTAGGTCAAGATGAGCTTCCTCTCATTACATTACTGGAGAAGCGTGGCTTTTAAATATTTTACCCTATGTCAGGAGAGACAGCATTCAAATCTAGTTTACAACTGATAATGAGATCTGCCAGCATAGTACAGACAGAGTTAATTATGGCAAACACAGTTCCCTTGCCTAGGATTTTTTCTTTGTTGAAGTTTCCAGAAAAGAGCATCTAAAAAAAGGTAGGTTTTAGTTTTGAAATATATTTCCTTAAATTGTGGGGGAATCGGGACATGTAACAAATATAAAGTAGATGTTATCCCAATTTGGCTGCAAAAAGTGGAAATACACTTTAAGTCAGCTCATACACTTGCAAGAAAATCAGTAGTTCTGTCCTAAAATGTAATTCATGATTATAACTGTGTCTTTTTTTATACCAAGGAATTCAGTTCTCTGTCTGCAGACACTAGTTTGTAGAGGAAAAGAAAAACCTCTTTGGTTATATTTGTAGTAAGTCATTTTTCTCCTTTCTCTTCCTGATTACGTGGACAATACTTCAGGAGACAATAATTCCCTGCTGCGATCTTCTTCCAGGAACTCCAGTTACTCAAGTTTTTTTTAGAGTTCTGTTTTCAAGTGATTGATTTTTCCATGCCCTATGATTGAGCTGTAGTAAGCTTGATTCTAAGTTAAATGCCCTGAGTCACTGGAAAAAAAACATACAGGAGCAGTTCCTTAGGTCATCACAAGGAATATAACAAAACTATCTATCAGTAGAACAGTAGTAAAACTGTCCAAATAGAAATTCAGCTGATGGAAGAGTGTTCATCCGTAGTTGTTTTAGCAGTTTTTTTTTCTTGTGGATGTGTGAACTTTGATCGCTTTTATAGAAAAAAAATAAAAACCATAAAGAAAACCAACACCTGTTAAGGTTATTTATATTTTATATACAATATGATAGGTATTTCTGGATTTTATATACGTATATAGTGTATGTATCTGTGTTTTACAATTGTAATACAAGCTAGAAGTGAGAATAAACTGTAGATGAGATATAAAAATATAATTGAAATGGAAATACATAAAATAAAACAAAATAAAATAACCTGCTGTTGGAAAAGAGACACAATACTCTATAACTAAATGTAGAAAATCATATTAGTTTTCAGACTTTTTTTAATGCCACTTTTAAAAACAGGTTCAGTGCAATTAGCTAGTCTGCCACTAGGTGGAGCTATCCCAAATCAACCTGGTAGCAGGAATTATGGGTTGGGTGTTAGGCCCCTTTTAAGAGGAAGCCTTCCTGTAGTGATGTCTCCACAACATCTCCAAAATACACCCCTTTCTAACCAATGACACCAAAAAGCTCTTAATTCACTCCCTGGTTATCTCTAGCCTCAACTACTGCAACTCCCTCCTCATTGGCTTACCTTTACATAGGTTATCCCTCCTTTAGTCCATCATGAATGCTGCTGCCAGATTCATTCGCCTTAGTAGCCGTTCAGTCTCTGCTACTCTTCTCTGCCATTCCCTCCATTGCTTCTATTCACCCAACAAATTAAATTCAAAATGCTAATAAACCTTACAAAGTTGTCCACAATTAGGCCCCCAGCTACATCACTAACCTAGTTTACCAACCAAAGCATTCTCTTAGTTCCTCCCAAGACTTCCTGCTCTCTAGCTCCCTTGTCAGCTCCTCCCATGCTCACCTCCAGAACTTCTTCCAAGCCTCTCCCATCCTATGGACCTCCCTTCATGTTGAATTGTATTGTAACTGTACTCTCTGCCCACGTGTTGCAAATCGCTGCGCAAACTATTAACGCTATATAAATCCTGTATTGTAGTAATAATGTAATGGGTGGAGTTAGTGCCTATATAAATGCCACGTTGGGAGGGGCCAGAGAGAGATGGGGCATGGGTGTCATGGGAGTCATGTGAATGTAGCCTGCTACTGAAAGTGCCCTTCACAGGGCTGAAACTCCAGGTGAGGAGTCTGTTGTGGACTGTGAGCGGGATGCAAAAGGCCTTTTAGGTCAGGTGAAGTGTTTTCTGACATGAGTGCTAGTACACCTGAAAGTGAGAGTAACATCTGGAAGCATGCTCAACTGTGTGGAGCTATGAAATGGGGCATGAAGATAGAAACTGGTATACTAAAGAAAAGCACCCTGGACAGACTCGGGGACAGAGGATGAATGCTGAGGATCCAGTATACATTGTAAATTGAGAAGTGGTTGCAACCCTGTGGTGCTCCCGAGGAGAGAGTATGTGCAAAGGAAGATGGATTAAAAGATATATGCTGGCATTCTGTGCCCAAATTACTGTTACAGAATGTCTATTCCTGTGTATGGTGTTTAACATCGAACAGTTTTGTCAGTATGTCAATGCGATGTGACAGCCATCTTGGAAAGCTACAGTAAAGTACTGAAAATATATTAATTTTGTGGACATTCTTTTACTCAAATTTTAAGGTCTAGGGCCAGGGATGTTGTGAACAGTCCTATGGCCAGGGGTTTGGCACAATATGATGAAAGCATCCAGTTACCGATGGGTTGATTGTTGTCCTATTCAAAAAGAAGCCAGCCAGGGACTGGTACAGTTTGGTTCCAACATCCAGCCAATCAGATGTCCCCTTACAAACTCATAGTGTAAGTCTTAACCTGTTATATTTAACACACGTATACTGAATTTTGTTTACAATTATACTTACGCTTAAGTGGGAATTGAAATGTTATTCCCAAAATTATCATGAAGCACATTTATAAATGTGTGTTTTCCACCTTTGAATTTTAAATATACAACGAGCAATTAATAATTTTAATATAAAGAAGACAAACTATACACTTAGGTATGTGTGGTACCAAACTCCAATTGTTTTGCACTGCGTGACAGTGACATTTCAAATACATGCTGGAGATGTCATATCTCAGTGGGCCACCTCTTACATAAATGGTGGCAATGCCTAGGGATCGAACAATTCTGCCTTGAAGTCCATTGTCTCATTACCAATTTTACTGATATCACCATGCCTTTTCCTCCCAATCCCATTCCTGTTATACCTTGCTACATTTTTTTTTAACCGTTTCCATAGCGGGCACTTTTACCCCCTTCCTGCCCAGGCCATTTTTCAGGTTTCAGCGCTCTCCACTTTGAATGACAATTGCGCGGTCATACAACATTGTACCCAAACTAATATTTTATAATTTTCTTCACACAACTAGAGCTTTCTTTTGGTGGTATTTAATCACCGCCGGGGTTTTTATTTCTTGCTAAATTAACAAAAAAAGGCAGAAAATCTAAAAAAAACCCCACGTTTTTCTTTGTTTCTGTTATAAACGTTTGCAAATAAATAATTGTTCTTCATAAATTTAGGCCAAAATGTATTCTACTACGTCTTTGGTGAAAATAATGCAAATTAGGATGTATTATTTAGTTTGTAGGAAAGTTATAGAGTTCACAAACTATGGTATAGATCTGAATATTGATCAATCCTGAAGTACTGAGGGCCAATCTAATTTCTTGAGGTCCAAGAATGTCAGAACAGTACAGATATCCACCAAATGACCCCTTTTTTGCAAAGTAGACAGTCTGATGTACTTCATAAGAGGCATGGCAAGTTTTTTGAAGCTGTATTTTTTTTGTCATACTTTTTCAGAAAATGAAAAAATTAAAAAAATTATTTTCACTATTTTTTTTTACATACTGTCACTAGTGCAGTACAGCGTCATCATATAACTGGCATGGCGGTGATGAGGGACACTGACTGGGGACAGTATGAAAAAAAAAATATATATATAATTTTTTTTTTTTTTTTAAAAAATGTTTATTTTTAATTTTTATTAAATTTTTTTTTTTTTTTTTTCTGATTTTTTTTCATATTTCACTATGACCAAAATAGTACAATGTTACCATAGGAACATTGTACTACTTTGGGGAAGTGATCAGTATTTTTTTTTTTTTTTTTTTACACAATTTGCTTATAGCAAAGAATTACTTTGCTATAAGCAAGCATTTACCTGAATGACATTGATTCATTCAGGGTTTTTTTTTTTTTTTTTGTGCTTGGCTGTGATTTGGCCACAGCTAATCACATGACACAGCTGGGCTGTGATTAGCCCAGCTTGTGCATGTGATCGCTGTGACCAATCACAGCTACACACACTAGTATACAATGGATGGCATGAATGAAGCCATCCATTGTATACAACTGCCATGTGACCTGCTGTGATTGGTCACAGCAGGTCACATGGTATTGGCAACGGGCCGGTACTCAGATCTGTCATCGGCCATGTCCAAGGTACGCGGCCGATGACAGATCATGCCGCTGCGTGGCTCTGCAGGCGCGCAAACTGCGAATGCTTGGGAGGACGCCATATGGCATCCACCTGGAACGCTAATGGATTTTGCACGCCGCCATTCGGCCATTGGCCGGGCGGCTAATGGTTAATGGTTTAAGATCTTGTGTTGAAACATGACAGCTGTATCCTACTGGCTTCAGCTACCATTCTGCTTTATTGGTGTGTGGGGAGGTGCAGCATAGTGCAGGGCAGTGAAGACACAGAGTCCAGTTGCAATAAAACGTGGAACTTGTATTGAAGAAAATGACAAACTACAAACACCCTACGTGGGAGAGCACCACTAGGGAAACACTCACAGTTCAGTTCAAATTCAGAGATACAGCGGGAGGAGATGTGCTGACAGCATCTGTTCAGAGGGCGGAGTGTGGCCTGTCCTGTCCCAAAGGGGAGGCTTCCTTGCAGGATGGTGAGTCCCTAACCTGTGCCTTTTCGTCTGGAGCCTTTCCCTGCCACTAATCACTTTCCCTGACAGGCGGGGTCTTGTACCTACTCTATCTACTTCGCAAAAGCATGCCAAAACTTGGGGGCAGGGATTTATAAAAGACCCAAGAAGACCGCCAGGGGTCACTTGGATGCAGTGTAGCCAACCAGAACACTGCTTCTAAAGACCCAGGAAACCATAGAGAAACCTTGTTTTTTACTTCACTTCCTCTCCAGCTGTGTTACCATTGAGGTAGAGCGCTACCTACAGTAGAGAAAACAGACTGTACCTGCCTACAGGTTTGAGGCACAGTGACAGCTAGAACCAGCAGGTTTGTTTGTAAACATACTCATGTGATCACCATGATTGGAGATCACATGATTGGGATCCAATTTGCATGGACCCCAGTTGTGAGAGGATAAGCGCTGTCCATCACTGTTAGGATTGTTTCACAGCATAGCTGCAATATTTCATGTGGAAAAGGTTAAACTCTCAAGGAATGTCTTCTTATCGTTTGATTTGTCATGTATGTGTTTTGTCTGTAGGGAAAGGGCAGTTCACTGACATAGGCATTATATATAGCTGCTGATCTAATATACAAGATTAAGGATAGGTGACCAGTTTTCGCAGCTCATACATATTTGCCAGCTTTTTGGGAGGGGAAAGAGGAACACCTATTAGCAAATGTATATAGGCATAGGATACACCCCCCCCCCCCCCCCCGCCATGCCCCCTTAAAAGAGAATTAGTTAGATCCACAAGTGCTGTTTGTACCACTACTATTCTTTTATACTAGTTATTGAAATTTACAAATGCGACAATTTAGAAATTGGATGAAAGGTTTAGCACTGTGAAATACTTTTTTGAAAGATAAATAGTGCATTTTATATACAACTATATAGATCAGACCAAAATGAGGGACAAATGAGGAGGAAAGAGGGACAGAGGGACTTTGTTTCAAATCAGTCCCTCGAAAGCAGGGACAGTTAGCAGGTATGCTCATACATAGGCCTGTGTGCACTTTGTTGACCTTGCCATCCTTCTGTAATGCCTCTTGGCTGAATGTAGGGGACCTGTCAAGTTAGGTTCTCCTTTACCATTTATTTTTACTCTATGGCATATTCTCTGTAGGCAGAGCTGAAAGCTTAGCCTACACTCAGCAGTGAATGTCACAAGCTGTTCCTGAAACTAAAGGTGCAAAAATAAGTACATACCAAACGAACATAAAGAGACCTCATGAAGTGTAAATGTTGCATTTACCTTGTCAACAAACAAGATCAAAAAACAAATCAAACCAATAAATTTAACCATAATCCTAATTATTTTAATTTATTTGCTTGCTTATTTATTGTTTGGCAATTTGAAACACAGTTTTAACAGGGAAGTCTGAAAGTATAATAACAGGTTATAATTTAATGATGTTTGTATAATATTAATAGCCATGTGGACAGTGAATGGTTATTTATTCTCATTTCTCTGTTTTAGACAATTGCTGCACCTGCTCCATTCTCTGTAGAAACAAGCTGCCAGTGTAAAGCTCCCCATGAGAAGCTAACCATTGCTCAGGCCCACATAGGAACACCAGGTGAGCTTTTAGATTCTTGTCTTCCTGTAATGAGCAATTTCCAAAAGCAATACCTGTTGAGAAAGTCTTTAGTAATCTCTTTATTCTCAGATTAAAGGTGAATAGACTAGATGGTAACAAGTTCTTTTCCCACATATTATCAGCATAAAGTATTACAATAAGTCTTTGGAAATGTTTATTGGGCTGGGTAATAAATATCATGGCCGACCTTAGGCCTTAGGCTTCTTTATAGGTCTTTTGTCAGACAGCCAAGCATGGCCAAAAAGAAAGGATTTACTGCAATTGCTGTGTATGTGAATATGACAGAAGACTGCAGCAGCATTTTGATGTCATGAAGAGGTGACTAGTTGGTGTTGGTGCAGAATGCATTGCTGGATCACTGGTCAGCAAACGCAAAAGCAGCACTGGCGAGGGACATAGATAGCAGAGTTTAGTGAGTTAAAAGAAAAAGTCTTCGGAATGCATTTTTCGAAAAAAACTAGTCAATGGGTGGTAGTGGGTTGAGAGGGAAGGATGGAAGGCCTTGCCCAGAAATGGGCTTCAGTTATGAGTGACTCCTAGAACTGAAAGTATCACATTAGCTGGTATGCAAAAATGAAATGAACAATGAACAAAGCATGTCCTTCTGTAGTGTATTTGCCTTGATCCAAAGCACTTGGTGTAATTTCTGTCTACTCTCTTATTCCTCTACCTTCCGCATGAGTCATTGCTGATGCCAGAAAATCCTGGGAGACAAACCCCGCCCCTCCCCCCTCCCTCCTGCAGACAGAAGATGTTCAACAGCATCAGCTGTGCATGTTTCCCTGTGAGACTGTAGAGAGGGGAGGGGGTCTCTTTTCCCTCCACTCAGGTCTCATATTACACTCAGCTACTTGTTCTGTGTTGTGCAGTGTGCAGCATCAGATCTCTGCCCCTGCATCCTAAAGCTCAGAAATGCTGTTTAAAATGTGTGCTTTAGGAAATTGTAGAGGTGAGAGGGCTGCAGATAAGCAGATACAATTTGTATAGGAGGGATTTGTTTTATCTCTGTGTATTACCTTAGGCTAGTCACTGGGTGTAGGGTTTACAATCATTTTAAATGGCTCTTTGGTCAATGATATATGAAAACAAAACATGTTATCGTAACCATATCATCCGATCAAATCCCCCCTTTCATTCCCCTATACGACAATAAAGACGGGGAAAACAATCATAGCGTCTTAGTTTAGACGTCAGATTCAGTTTATGTCCCGTCAGGTAAACATTCCCACTACACACATATTGGTAAGTTTTGCTATCTTGCAGATCAGATCTGAAATATAGTCTAACTGTGTCTGACTAGCATTAAAGGTCAGCTCAAAGCAGGCCCGGACTGGGACAAAAAATAGGCCTGGGCATTTAGACTGCGCAGTGCATTTTTTTAAATGTGAAACCAAAAGCTTACTGTGAGAGGAGGACCAAGACCCATGTGGGCTTACTGGGGTTGTCATCGTAATCCTCTTTGCTGTCATCACCATTCTCATCCTTATTATTATCATCCTCACCATTATTTACTTTCTATACTGCCATCATCATGATCACCATTATACTCACCTTCATCATCATCCCCCTTTATCATCTTCATCCTCTTTACTGTCATCACCATGATCATCATCAATATCCACATCATCATTGTTATTATTCTACTCGAATCCTCTATACTGTCAACATCATCCTTACCATCATTATACTCCTCCCTATTATTATTTCTTTGTCATCATCCTCACCATCACTTTTCCCATTACTTTACATTATTATTGTCATCCCTGTCCTCATCATCCATCCAACTTTATCCTAATCATTAGCCTCTATCCTGTCATCACCATTCTCACTATTGTCATCCCTATTATAATCAGTTTTTACTCTCCGTCCATAATTATCATCCTCATCACTTGTCTTTATCAACTTCCTTACATCATCTTCACCAAACTTTTCTCACTTCCCCCATTACTATACAAGATCCCTGTCATCTCTGTCTTCACCATCCATTATTATCATCCTCATCACTGTCAATGACAGTCTGTCATCATATCCTTGTCATCCTCCTCCTCATGATGATCCTTCTCTCCTACTCTCTTCTAACACTTCTCTTCTTTTCCTCATTACTTTACATTGTCATCCCAATCCCCGACCCTCACTCTCCCAATTCCTTCACCAGCCCCAGACTCACATGGAGCGATGTGATGCAGTAGTGCTCACCTGGTGGGTCCCAGGGTGGAAGGGGAGCTGGGAGGTTCTTCAGTAGGCATGTCAGGAAGAGCATAAGGATGGAGCCTCACATCACTGATCTCCCAGCCTGGTCACTCTGCACCAATCTCTGTGGGCAGGGCAGGGTCAGGGGCAGAGTACTCACTCTCAAGGGAGATTGGGGCGGGATGTTTGGAGAGGGCCATCATGTGACCCTGGGGATCGCAGCCTGCGGCTCACCTTTAGATTATCAATAACAGATGAGGAGGAGGAGCATAGACTTCAAGCAGCACACAGTTGGGCTGGAGCCCCCCTGGCTTCTCTGTCATTAAGTATTACTGCTCAGAGCTGGAACTGACCCAGGACATGTTTTTCTTCTCTTACAGCCATACGGCCCGGCAGCCGCAGCCCACCGAGCAAGTGCCTTGTGTGCCCTATGGCCAGTCTGGGCCTTGCTCAAAAATTTTTGTTATATCACGGGCAAGAGATATGACTGGAGAGAACTGGAAGCCTTTGGCCTGGTGGGCAAATGCAACCAACTAGCCCTTTGATGGTAGGGACAGATTTTTCTGTACCATGCTAAGTTTTCCATAGTGCTTCAGTGATTTTGTGCATGGTGAGTGCTGGGTGTTCTGAAAGGACATGGTTTACACCCTTTCACAACTTCTAACATCAGCTAATTTCGCAACTCGCATGCCATCTCAGATCTGCAGCTGTCGCTGGTAGCTGTTTAATGCTCAGCATGTGATACTGACTGTGGACCCCATGCTGATCAATGTCAGAATTGTGGAGGGAGTATTTCCATTCAGGGCCACCATCCCAGCATATATTATCTTTGGCCCAGGAGGCAAAATGCCCCACTCCCCCCAAGCCCAGCTCGCACCTAGGAAGAGACATCTGTCAGGTTTTTATTTAGACTAATACTACAACAATACACTGTTTCCTGTAAAATGGAAAAGTGTTAGCACCTCTGTAAGGTTACTGTTATTGTCCATGTCCCCCTGTCCAAGTTAAAACAGTTTCCCTCATTTCTTGTCTCAGGGACAGGAAACAAGCAGAAATCACCGTAATAGGGTCATAGACAGCATTAAAGCCTTAATAGAATTTTTTTGCCCTTCTCTATTCTGTCCAAAACAAACAAACAAAAACATTTTTGGATAGACATGGTCTGTAATGGTGGTTGTTGGCAACAGTTATAGTTATTTTGTAGCTTTGATATCAAATCCCCAGCATGCTCAAGATCTGGTAATCTGCAGCCTGAATCATTTTAATTGCCACAATTCTTGTTGTCATGAAAAGAACAGTATTATTACATAAAAAGGTAACTTAATTTGCATCATATGCAAAACCTAAGGACTGGATATATGAGGGATTTAGTATGAGGGAGGTGAGTGTGAAATCTACACATGAGATATGGCTCAGGGATGTACTCAGGCTGAGAACACAGATGGCAGAAAGAGCCAAGAATAGCAGCCTTACATACACAAGTTCTCATTTAGGATAGAGTTTCTTTGTTAGGTGACAAACAAATTACAGGCATATAAAAGAAGAATAGTCCTGGCTTTGTGATAATACAAATTGTATTGTACCATGGAAATGTCTCTTTACAGCAGCACAGCTGATACTGCAATTTTCTTCTCAATGATTATACTTCAATGGACCACTGCATTATAGCAAATCAAAATAGTGTACACAGACTGTCATCCTTTGTGTTCAGAGCTGGATGTAGAGAGGAAAAATGGGGTGCTACTAAGAAATGCACCTCCTAATATACTTTGTCATAATTCTTCCAGAAATTATTTATTAACACTTGCAAAAATGATCAGGGAGGTAGCAGCCTATGTATCAGCCTCTGGTTCTCGGAAAAAATAAAAATATAATAATGATTATACAGCATATTTGTACCAAGGGGACCAACATGATAAGTCAGTCGCGCTTCTGTGTGTGTATGTATGTGTGTGTGGATATGTGTGTGTGTGTGGGTATGAGTGTGTGTGTGTGTGTGTGTATATATATATATATATATATATATATATATACATACATACATATACAATACAAATGATTATGCTAGCCCACCTGGCTACTTTTCAGCAGCACTGAAGCTCACACCACCAGCTTTTCAATGTACACAGCTTTAAAAGATAATTTCTCCTTTTAACAAAAAAGAATAAATGCACAATTTTTGCAGGTAAAAAAATGTGCAATTATTCTTTTTTGTTTCAAGAGCCTCTAAAGCATTGCACCAACGATCAGCTGGTTGCTGGTGCCATGCAGGTCTCCTGCAGACCTGTCAGTGTACAGTATCTGTGTGCTAGTACATACCGTGTGGGCCAGCAGATAGTTACTGAAAGGAAGACTCAAAATAACTACCACGGCGCTCCACAGCGCCATGGTAGTTAATTGAGAACTACAAGCCGACAGCTTTGAAGACTGTCGGAACTTGTAATGTTCTCATTCTCATACCTAGCAGTTGCTAATGTTCATCAATTTCATATACAGGTTAAAACACAGTCATTACCTAAAACAAAAACAGCTGTGTAGGAGGCTTAAAACTGGGTGAGGAACAGCCAAATTCTCCTACCAAGGTGAGGTTGTGGAAGACCGTTTTCAGTTTCATGTCACAGGTCATACACCATGGCAAGACTGAGCACAGCAACAAGACCAAAGGTAGTTATACTGTATCAGCAAGATCTCTCCCAGGCAAAGATTTCAAAGCAGACTTGAGTTTCAAGATATGCTGTTCAAGCTCTTTTAAAGAAGCACAAAGAAAGGGGCAATGTTGAGGACATTGG